TGAAGACAGCATAAAGCCGACGTTGTATGGACAACGGATATAATTAGAAAAAAACTTAATAAATCTGGATAGAAAGCATACCACTTTTCAATTAAAATAGATTTAATTATTTCAGCTGTATAGCATTTGACTCACAAATTAGTAAGAATATTTCGCTCAACTTGCTACAGTCAACAAAAATCGCTGCCGGAAATAGACTAATCTAATAAAAAATCTGGACCAAACTTATCTAACCAAGTCTTTTGACTATTGTTCAGATTAGTCCGGAGCAAAGTGTTATCTATAGTCATAATTGAGTAGGGTTGTCTCATGAGATGCTGAATGTGATATTCGAGTATGTTTTTTGTTAGTAAGCACCATAGGTGAAGATATGAAGATATGAAGAGAAACTTGGTTTCGATGAATCTCCTGAGATAACATTGTTAGGGGGACCTTCATTTCGTATGAAATTGAATGAAGAAGAGATTCGTTGGTCTATATAAGAGGTAAGATTAAGCCGGATAATCTTCTTGGTCTAGTGTTAACGAAAGAATTTTACAAGAATGACACCCAGCTCTGATGATGTCCATCATATGATGGACGAATGTTCAGCAGGTTTTTACCCGAAACGAGGAAGTAAGTCCCGTGGACTGCGTCAACATGAATATCGTATAACAGCCAAACGGTTGCAGTACAACGAGATTTATCCGTCCTCATCTGGTGAGATCGACCAACGAATCTCTTCTTCATGCACTTTCATACGAAATAAAGGTCCTCCTAATAAAGATATGGAGTCTTAAGAAATTTCTAGAAACAAAAATCAGGTCAAAGACTCTACTAACGGCAGCCAAGAGTAATTAAACACTTCATCATAATGAATCGAGTACTCGCCAGAGTTCGATCCGGAGACTTCGAATCCGTTAGCACTAGCCATGAGTTAGGACCCGTGGAACAACGCGTTTAATAGTCAAGATGGACCTTCGCTTAGTCCTAGGAAAATTTGCAAAAAAATAATTGTTCCTGAAACACATTGCGAATTTTAATTATCAAAATTCATCTGATGCCGAATAATCCTCGGGCGGTCGCTGAGAGGGCAGAAGCAGAAGTCCTTCTATGAGAGGTATTCACTCTATTTCGTTTAAGGTTATGAAGGACTTTTAGCTGAATTTTCCCACAATCATATGAGTAGAGTCTACTTTAACCATTGAATCTCTTTCACTCTTGAATAACAGAGCTTAGAAATTGAGTGCATAAGTGTTACATGAACGGAATTGCATCGGCTATCAAAGAGACTTAAACATGAATTCAGGACTATATTGAAAAGATAATTTTATGTCTTTTTTTCTTGCGTTTTACATAACCATTCAGAACAGATTTTCTCAGCCTATCTAGAGATCAATTGAGAAAACGGCTTCATTTTTTTCGTGTATAGGTAGAGTTTCGAGACTATCAGTAAATTATTTATATAAGATATACTCATTCTATTTCATTTAAAGTGATGTAGGACTGGTAGTTGAATTATCCTACAATAATATGAGTAAAGCTGACGTTTCCATTAAATTTTGCATAGTCTTCCTTTCCCAAAAAGTATTCTCAGCCAGGATGGACTGCAGTTTCGACCCCCAGTGGGACTCGAACAATGAAGGGGCAGCGTGTAAGCTCGACACGTTAAACACTAAGCCACATTGCCACGAGTGCCCTTGGATCACAGGGCAGATGTGAATTTCAAGGAAGGCCAGGCATTTTCCCATATCACATTTTTTGGCGGGATTGTCGATGAAGCAAGATTATATTTACTATGACAATCGAATGCATTACTTATTTTTCGTTTATAAGTAGGGTAATCCAGCTGATTTTTTGGATACAGTAAGTTTCGAATCTGAACCATGTGTATCTACCGTGGTAGCTCAAACCACTTGATATAACGATTCACTTAATGGCTATTAAATACAAGTATTTTTTTACAAGCTAAAGTACATTTGTTAGAAACACATTGGCCTCATTATCCGTTATTTAAAATATTTTACTGCCTATAATACGATTATTTTAAGCTGAAGCTATTGGGAGTTGTGGTCTGCAAGTTCTAAAATAGTAAAATTTTGATAGTTTGAATTTTATCTCTTATGTTAGAAAATTTTCACAATTCAAATACATTTCATATTGTAGCCAAATTTGATTGAACCTTACCAGACGCTTATGAATAGCATCACTGGATCCCTTCAACTCTTCTTCCTTTTCTTTCACACCCGGTTCACACTCCATCTCTTCTTCTACCCTCTCCCTCTTCTGCAGTTCCGTTTCTTCTTCCCCATCGCCCCAATCCTCGTCAGCCTGATCAGCTTTGAGGTGCCCTGTTTGAGATATAAGCTCTCTATAAGCGCTAATGTCATTTGACCCGGAATTTTCATTCGTAATCACGGTCACCTTTTGCACAGACTCTTCCTCGGAATGTAGCTTCTTCGGGGTCTTCTGCTTATCAGCACCTCCAGTCCGTCGATCATGCTCAAATTGGCCTTCACAACTCTTCTGACCTAATTCCTCGCTGTCGTCCACTTCGTCATGTTCAAAGTGATCATTATTATCGCTGCCAGGCTCATCCTCATCGTCGTAACACGAGACTCCAGTAACCATGGATATGGCACCAATCGACAATGCGCCCGCAAGACTTCCAGGCTCGTCAAGATCCGAAGCATTTCTTACGCCCGGTGGTGAGTCGAGAGCAGAGAACCGTGGCTGGCCAGAAGGAAAAACTTGTGAACTAAGGGCCGGCGGTGTCCAGAATCTGGTATTGGATCTGTCGACCTCGAAGTCGTCTGGCAAGAACTCGACCTCGAGTGGGTCTAATTGTTTCTCTTTGAGGCCGGTCTGAGAAAAGAGAAGGATAAGAAATGAAGGTTATAGAGCGTTTACAAGTCAAAAAGGAAGTAGAAAGACTTGTTTACAGATTAATCAAGATCTGAAGAAACGCTTTCAATCGGAGCGTATGAAAGGACAACGGTCCCAAACACGCATCGAAACTCCGTTGAGTATATGTGAAGTTGAAGAAAGAACAAGGAGTGCTGACTTGCATACGTTTCTCTCCTCCACAGTCACCAAGACTCAACCCCACTGAGTACCCTCTGGAATATTTTAAAATGAAAAGGGTGGAGTATATTCTGACATCACAAAATAGTTTATGGGCTTCTCTGAAGAGCGATGAAATAAAATGGTTTATTAAATGCCGAAAAAAGCGTAGAATCGATGCCAGACAGAGTGTCAGTAGTGATTAAGACAAGAGATGGTATAATCAAATATTGGGAACATTTGACTGTCAGTAAATACAAACAAACCTTTGTCGAATCATATTCGTTGATATGCCTATTATTTAAAACTGCATGTTTTTTTATTATAAATGATGTAATAAGCACAGTTCATTTTGATAGACGCAGACCGTTGGAGCCTACTGCTCCTGCTACCTGCAATAACCTCCTAGAGTTAGCATCAAAACTGCTTTCTAATCCACTTGGATTCGTGAAGTCTAGCGTAATGGTGACATGTCAAAAATATATACTGAACTGCCTGAGTTCGATTTCAGTTGTAGGTGCTCACGAGACTTGAGCGAGGTCGAAACTACAATCCAGTCCAGCCCGGGTGATCATGAAAGAAAAGCTTAGAAAAATTAAATGGCGTCCAGTCATTTCAATGTGGACATTTTCACATTGAAAATACTTAAATCTATCAAGGTGACCTAAGTTAACTAAAAGTCTAAATAAATAGTTAATGAAAGTTCCAAAACATACTAACATCAAGTGAAAGACAAATTTTTTTTCTCCGGCATTTTGCTTGGCATATGCTAACCTTTCTTAACCCTACATCGTTGAGCTTGCTATCACCACCTGCCAGTCTCATTAAAAATAAGTGCTATCCTCGATTGCGAAATCAAGTAAAAATATGACGAATTAAAAATTCATCTAGAAATGTAATTTGGAAGAGACATGGCTTATCTTTAAAGTTCAATAATATCTGTAAACAAAGGGCAAACATGGCTGTTTATTGGAGCCGTAACATGTACTTAAGATGCTCATGATAGGGTTTTCAAATCAGTTTGGGAAGAATATCTGTATAATATCTGAAATTGTTGACCTAATCAACCTCTTTAAAACCGTGGGCTATAGTGACCCCGATGCATGCCAGAAACTGAATAAGCCTCGTCGATTCAGACAAATGCGCCACAAAGGCAGAAATTACTGATTGCGTGGACTTTGATCTAGCGTGATAGCAGCCTGACAACGAAAGTATACAGAAGCTTTATGTCATAAGTTGACTCTATTACTTACTGTTTGATCTGATCTATCATGCTCGCCACGGATTGTCGTGACATGATCCGAGGTCTGTCTTAGACAGCAGGTTCCGGCAGGCAGGGATTCGGACTTCTGCGAGGTGAACGCAGAAGAGTGCACAACCTGAAGCGAGTCAGATGGATTGTCTGTAGAAAGCTTTGGCGCCCTTGAACTGTGAGGAAAAGAGATGAAATTTTCAAATCAACCAAACTAGTGCTAAGTTCAACGATACTGAGTAATTTAATCATACATGCCGGAGAGTTAAAATGAATTGAAGAATGCATCAATACGTTGCTTGGACTGTCTCCAAAATTGAGTTAAGCTTTATAGAGTAGTGACTCAATCCAACCCTGTAAATGCTATCGAAAAATATTAATACTTAAGAGTAGCTATCGAAAAATATTAATACTTAAGAGTAGCCAGTCTTGTATAAACGTAAATATTGAAGCAAATTAACTAAGGTATAAAAATGTAAAATACGATAATTCACTAAATAAAGAAGATTTTGCGCACAATTATATGCACACAGGCATTTTAGTGTTCAAGTAAATTGTAAAGATTTTCATTTTGTATAAAAGTGGATGAAGTAGAGTTTTGTAGGTCAATCTCAACAGAAGACGACGGCTGATCTGCAAGCATTTGCTTTAATACTACGTTCAGATTGGCGCAGTCAACGAAACGTCACCTATCATTTTGGGTATAAACGAACTAACGTTTCGTTCGTCATACGACAAACATCATCAGAGCCAGAACTAATTCTTGCAAAAAGTTTCGAGTTAACATCGAGTCTTCTTGATAGACTACATATCAATGCTATCTCAAGAGATTCCTCCTGGTATATTCTACTAAAATTTTTATTACGCCAAAGGTAGGTAAATAAGCTAGGCTAGAGAAACAAGCAAATAATACAGTCAAAAGAGGTTGTTTGACCTTGTTTTCGCAAAACGTGTAAGAAGACTTAGATGAACGCACCTAGTCGGGAGATTGTTTGACCTTGTTTTCGCAACATGGTCATATTGGTAGGAAGACTTATTGGAACGCACCTAGTCCGGGGGCCATTGTCTGCATGATCATTTCCAAAGTTGAACCGTGGACGTGGTACATTCCCAAACGTTTCGCCGGCATGGTCAGTGAGTATCGTCATTCTTAGCACCATACAACAACTCGTCAAAGAGGGTGAAGCGATCCTTTGACCAAACGTGTGCTAAACAATTGTGGTATCTCCCCTTCTGCCCTGGGTTATTCGCGTTTCCTGTATCATCCTATCATGCCTTCACTATTAGAATGTTTACCGTGTTTATTTAGATATAGTGTGGTGTGCTCCTTTGAGCGACATGAAACCTTCACAATCCAACTGTCGTTCTTCCCCGCCACCTTCCGTGCAGGGAATGTTGATCAGAGTCTGCTTTATTATTATGCAGTCCTCTTTCCTAGTCTTATCCCAGTCTCTCTATTGCTCCGTAAAATCCGTCTGCTCTACCCTTGTTCACCTATTTCCACGTTCCTACTCTGGAAATGATCATGCATACAATGGACTCCGGACAAGATCCGTTCCTCTAAGTCTTCCTA